ACATCAGCATGAACACAGGAGAGCAGTAATATGCCATACTAGGAGATCTTATGCTAAAATAAAGTGTTGTCATTATCCCAGGTGATAGACTGGTGATAAAATTACAAAGTGATGAGTGCAGGGTGCAGGCTAAGTGATTTGAATCAAGGGAAGTGTAAGAGAGCTTTATTTCTCAAAATAAACAGATGGATGCTAAATGGCAAGGTAGCATTATCTGGTGCCCTTCACATGAGAGAAATTATTATTTCTGTGAGAATCATGTTGCATGTAATTAACTAGTGGATAGCCAATGTAAGGTTAAGTAAATGTTAGCACCACCTCTATGGTACTGCCCAGCAAGTAAGAAACAGTTCTTCCCTGTGCCACCTACATTTCTGTAGGCAAAACTACTGTTTGGTTTCATAAAACCTGTGGGTTTATATTTATTAAACACCAAAAAAGTAGGATTTCTGAAAAAAACATGGTTTTTTAGTTTTTCTTTGGAAGAAGATAGAAGCTTGCCATTAGGAACAAGCTAAAGGCTGTTAATAGTATATGAAGCTGCTGAAACAAATATGTTCCAAATGTGGCAGTTTTTATCAATTGCAGATGTGAACATTTCAGCTCATTAGTAATGGTAATACTTATTAGTTACTTGTTAGTAAGTATTGAGGTGATGAAGGAGAATATACAGCTGAGCAAAGTTTCCCAATCCACTGAAAATAGACGGCAAACCCTCAAGTGGTTCATGTAGTCTGTGTGTCTCTACTGAAAAAGACTCTGTAATAGGACAAGCCAATGTGTTCATCTGATTTTTTAAGAGCTTTAAGGTGTGTATTCAAGAAACTCAGGTCCCCCAGCTAGTCTGGCTGGGCTGGACTGCAGACTTCTGCCCTGTTCTCTGCTGTTTGAGAAGCAGAGTTGAGAGAAGTGGCACCTGCAATGGAAAGGTTTAGCAAAGTGTTTCTTTTCATTTCTGGAGTATTCTGTATCTCTTGAATATGTGAAAGGGTTTTTTCCCTTTTTTTCCTCCCCCCCACTGTGGTTTGGAGAATACTAGTAAGTGTCACAGGCTTAAGATCAAAGTTTTGAAAATTATAGGAATATTCTAATCATTACAAATTCAGCTGTTCTTCAGAAATTCTTTTCCCTCAGAATGTAAGGATAAAGATCACTGAAGTTACTATTCCAGAAATATCTGAAGTATCATAACAGGTCACACCTGCATGTTACTCATGAGCTAAGTATGATGGGGTATGTGTGGTACCTTGCTCATTCCTTCAGAGAGTCTGGTTGGCTCTCTGTGATACCCCACTGATGGGCTAAAAAAAAAAACCAACAAACTTTTTTACTTTGGATTTGTGAAATTAACAGATATTTTGTCCTATTCCAATCTTTGGAGATCTCCATAGAATTCCAATTGTATACTTGAATTTTGACAGGCTTGCTTAATGCTTCCTGAAAAATGTCAAACATTGTCTTTTGGTTCAGTTAGGCCCTATTTTTCCCCTCTGGTCCTTATGTCAGATCACAGTGAGAAAAAAAAAATGGAAGAATTTTTATTCTTACTGTTAGAAAGCCTCAAGAGCAGAGTCAGGCACAGGCATGTGGTACTTAAAGTAGCCACAAACTCTGGAGAAACAAGAAGGCAGCAAGGTGTTGGTAATCACTGCATGCAGTCATGGGGACCGCAGGATCCTCAGGGACCTTCATGCAGATGTGCATGGGAATGGCATAGGATTCATGAGTTTCAATAACCATGCATGCCAGGCTTCTCCCTCAACAGCTGCAGATCTCTGCAGCAGTGGCTGCATTAAAGGGCATGCATTAATGCCATGATATGGCTCAAGGTGAATAGCTGTGCAACCTCCATGAAAGGATGAAAATCACTTACCCAGTATTCTTCCCCAACACTGGTCAGTTTGAAAACCCAGCTACACAGGGTGCTGGGGCATCTTGTTTAGCCTGTGCTTTTGTTCAGGGGTGGACCAGATGATCTTTGAGGTAGTTTCTGACGTGGTATTCCATGATTCTGTGATCCTGTGAATATGTTATTGTGTGTTTTTCCTATTCCCACCAGCGTACTTCAGCAGCAAGGCACCTTCATGTTTTGTAAAGGTGAACAACCTAGCAGTGGTGTGTGACTCCTCTCATCCACAGGAAGTTCATAGCAAGCAGAGAGTTATAACCAAGCCAAACTGAATATGGTAACTGCCATGTGAATGAAAGCCTACCAGTCAAACAAGGCAACTTTTTGCTTAAGAAAGGTTTTCTTAATAAGATTTTATCTTATTAAATCTCATATTCTTATAATCTCATTCTTATGCTAAGATTTCATTGAGTGCCTGTGTGAGCATGGTAAGCATGTTACCATTGTTCCTATTAAACGTGAGCAGAAATTCTGGAAGAGCATTATGCTTCATTGCTTTGAAGGATTTTAAAACAAGAACTGTTAATGTGAAACAGAATTTCTGGAATAAATGAGAACAGTTGGGCACTTTGGAGCTAATATTTGGAAAAAAAAAGCTTAATTATGTGGGTACCAGATTAAGGCATTCTTATAAATAGTTACTGTATTTTTGTTGTGATGGTAAAAAAAAAGAAAGCAAAGGGAAGACACCTTAACTTACTGACTCAAGTGTAGTAGTTGATTGATTCTGAAAGTCAACAGGTGAATATTTTCTCCAGTGCCAAATTCCTATGGATTTCCTTGAGAGCAGGATCAAGTCTTTAATTCTTGATTAACTCCTTTTTGATTTTAATGAGAATTACGTGACTAAATCCTGTTTTATGTTTTGGAAGCAACGGGTAAGGTTTAAATCAAATAGTAGGTTTTCTAGACTTTTAATAGCGCTATTCTTTTTAGTGCTTCTGTTACCTCAGGGTATTTACTTTTGGCTCTTAGTGTGGTGTAGAAGTTGATACTATTGTGAATGGAATTGGCAAGTCTTAAAACACAATGTTTAGATCATAAACATTTTTAAAAAAGACTCCATAAAAAAAGATATTTTTTTTTTAATATGAAATGTTAGTTGTGTTCTTGGCAGGCTTTGCCTCAGAGGAGTCAGATGCATTTCAAAGAGTATTCTGGTGGCCAGCTGCAGCCAAAAGTTTATTTCAAACCAATGGAGACCCAATTCCCTTTCCTCTATAGCTTTTTTCCTTTCTCTCTCTTTGTATCCCCTCCTCTCTCCTCAGTAGAACTCTCTGTATGTATTACAAATGAAGTGTGGCCAGTGATGGGGTGAAAAATTCATACACAATTAAACATAACAGTGGAAAGCATAGAAACTTGGACTAAAGATGCCAGTACTGGTCTTTGCTTTAGGAAGTGCTGTTGAGATTTCTTTTCTTCAACACTCTTCAAATCTTCAGGGTTCAAAAATGACTGGCTACTCTTCCAGAGCCAGCAGGATAGCATAAAATATATGAAGAATTGCTTGTGTCTGCCCTGCACTTACCTTAGTACTGGTACAGTCATCTTTTTAACAATGACTTGATTCATAGATGCTGTGTGAAGCCAATTACACTCCAGAGATGAGAAGAAGGTAATGGGTTTGGGGGATACATTAATGGAGCAGGTCTTCATTTTAATCTCAATCATTCATAGTTCATTGTGATAGACATTATTTTTGTTTTTCACATTTATTTGAAATAAATGTGTGAGAGTATTTCTTCTCCTGCTTTAGAGATGTCTTTAGAGGACTTCTTTTTCTAAAATATTAACTGAGTGTGATGAGAGGTATTGTCTTATGTAGTTGTGCAGGCAGAAGTCTTGCCCCACCTCAGGCAAACACAGGTGCCACAGTAGAAACTCTCACTACCCATAAAACAATCAACATCTCTTAGTTATTCCAGATCAGAATTTTACTTCTTTTTTTGTCCCTATATAGTAAAGGTAGAGCTTTCTCCACCTTGCTTTTGAAGTCTGTTTCTGCTGTGTGTTTTGCTGGATATGGGCCTGAAATCCCTGCCTGCTTTGCACTACATGAGGGCAATTAAAAGTGCTGCTTAATGTCACTCACAGGGAATCTTTTTGTTCCTGATTTATATTTCCCCTTAGGTGATGGAAGGCATCAGCAACAGGAATTATTGTCACTTCTCTGATTTTGAGAATTCAATGAATGATTGAGATGAATCATTCAAAAAGAACAGTAGTTGCTTTTCCTGTTACATTTCCCACAGGAAAATAAAAGGACAGAGAGCAAACTATGACTTCATGTCCTCCTAAACATTTGCTGAGCAGACCTGCATGACTTGAGATATTTGTGCTCTTACTAGCCTGTGTTTATAATGACCTCATAATAGCAAAAATAACCCAGAAACACAAATGTCTGGCAAAAAAAAACCCACCAAGAGCTGAAAACTGAATGCCTGTAGTGCTTGCAGTGTTTGGGGGGTGGGTTGGTTTTGGGGAAAATCTAGGTAAATTTTGTATTAGGTGCATGAGAAATACTGAGGGCAATTCTTTGGATGAGTCTGCATGTCTGAGTAGTGTGTAGGGCTGAGTCCTTGATCATTTTGAGAAAAAGTCCTCTGCAGCTGTTTGTATGAAGGGTTAAACAATAAAGAAGGAATACATATTCATGCTTTTGCTTAAAAATAAAAGGGCTGGATTTCAGAAGGAGCTGTAAAGCTTTCAGCAAGAATCAGGCTAACACTGCAGTAAAGTGAAGGCTGAAATGTGAAGAGTGCGTGATGTGAGATGTGAGATGCCAGCTCAGCGCTTCCAGATCACTTTGCTCTAGCAGAGGAGACCACCCTTGGAATTGCAGTGAACTGTAGCTGCTCTGCAATGTAAAGTTGTATAGGCTGATACCCCTCTCACTGTTATGTCACCCGGTGGTAGCCTCTCTCAACACTTCTCCACTCTGGGGAAAACGTGTTATTTACAAGTACTTCTCTAGGGGTGGAAAAATCTCCTTAATATACAGATCCCAGCTGCACAAGGAAATGAAAATAGTGTTCATACAAAAAGGGTTCTTTACTGAGGGTGTTTTTTTTTTCTCCTCTTTGTGCAGGTTCGACATGGGAGAAAACATTACGGCAGATTGGTTTTGAAAGGTAAGTCATAAATTTATTTCCTTACCAGTGCAAAAAGGTAAGGAAGAAAAACTGCACAGGCAAATTTGCAGTTATTTGTTTTAGTTGATTGACTGTATCAACAACCTCAAATTTAGAGTGAAAGTCATGCAGTGTCATACACATATGTGTTCAACTTTTCTGTTTGTGTCCTCTCTTCCAAGTCAATCTGAAGCAATTTATTCATCATATGAACTTGGCTCATTGTGTTGTTTGCTGGTGACTATAGAGCATGCTAGTATTAAAGAAAGGGACACACCTTTTGGCCACAAGTCTTACTCCTGAATGAAAATACTGCTCTCACTCATATTATTTTTTTCCATGAAACTTCTAATCTCTGACATATGAGTTGACAAAAGTAAATGAAGTTGAAAGACGAGCAAAGCTGACAGAGAGCTATCCAGCACCAGAGGAAAATTCAATATGCAGCATTCCTCAAGTGCAAGAACTTCTTGCAGACAAACTTAGCCACAAGGTCATCATACCAGAAACACATGTCTGCCCTGTAAGTTAAACTAGGTCAAGTCCAGTAACGAGCGATGTAAAGAAGGATTCAGATGCTCAATATCATCTTTATTCTTCCACAAATGGTAAGCAGAAGAATCTGCTATCTTCTTGAAGTTCTGGAAATTGTTGAAAATTAAAAAACACTCTCAGTTCCTAAGTTTGATGTCCTCAAAGTTGTTTTTTAACAGGTTGGGTTTTTTTCCCAAGTTATATCCAGTTTGGTTCCTGATGGGCATTTCATTCAGTGTGATACCACAGATGTCTGCAGGGCACTACAATAAACTATTGATTCTTTCAGCACCCAAATTATAAATTAGCACTGATTAGTGTGCTTGTCTCCATCAGAACTAAAAAAAAAAAGAAGTTTTGAGGAGTTCTAGGATGAATTGACATTCAGTGTCTGTGTTTTGAAAATGAGAATGGAAAAGGGTGAGCGTCTTTTTGGCTGAGTTCATCAGAAGTTCTGTGGTGGCAATTTCCAACTTGTGAGATGTTTCAAAACAAGAATCCATACTGTGTATATGCCAGGTATGTACCACATGAAAGATGGAGAATTCCTAATAGACTAAGTTACAGCTGGGAAGCCTTCCTGGGATGAGACTAATATGTAGAAGGGATTTCTGTGCAGATCCTATTATTGCCACTGTAGTTTGAAAAGCAGAAAGGTTTTAAACAGCACTTGTGCACCTTGAGAGATTGATCATCACCCTGGGGTAACTTTATATGAAGCAGGACATTAGTTAGCGCAGATGCAGTGAAGATTTGAATATACTTTTCTTACCACAGTCCTAGAATTAAATGTGTTCCCTGACCAGTTTCTTCAGAGAAGCAGCAAGGAGAAAAAAAGGAAAATTAAGTCCTTCATACAGATATAACAATTCAGATTTGGGGTTTTTAAAATAGTAATATTCATTATCTTACTATTATTATCCTTTTTAATTACTTATTTTTACTATACTTTTTACACAAGATTTTTTTATGAGAGAAATATATCATAGAATCATAGAATGGCTTGGTTGGAGGTATCTTAAAAATCATCTAGTTCCTAATCCCCTGCCATGTATTGTTCAGAGACCCATCCAGCCTGGCCTTTAACACAAGGTGTGGGGCATCCACAACTTCTCAAATTGGTTGACTAATTAGATTATATAAAGGTTAAATAAAGAACAATGAATAACATATATGTGAAGTTCATCATTAACTAATTTATAGCAATATTTGCTTAATATCGTATAGTCTGCTATTGCTTAATATAAGTATTTTTTGTATCTCAAAGAATAGTCTCCAAAGCAAACACGTTCCTGTGTGTAATACCTGGACATTGGAATCACACTTTAGTTGCAGTCACAGGAGCAGAAGTCCCAGGTCTGCGGATCTCTCAAGGCTGAGAGAGTATTCTGGGGATGTATCACTACATCCTGTCCCTAATCTTATTCTCTTCAGTAGGAATCCCTTTTAGACCACCAATAGATATAGGTTAGTGGGCTACATTTATGTTAGCTCTGATCACATACAGCTGTTCTTGTGTTATTTAGATAAACTCTAGGGAAAGAAGCAGCAGAAGCATGTCTGGCCATTTAAAATTCTGTTCTCTGCAAGCTTTTCACTTAGGCACATCTGAGTCAGCTGTGAAATATCAATAGCATTTAAATGTGTTGTTTGAGCAAGGACATTCTCATTCAGGAGGGAGGAAGCAAGATTTTTAGATGCAGAAAAGGAGACATACAACATAATGCCCTAAGGAGGAATTATCTTCGCTTTAAAGCTGGAAGATCCACATAAATGGTTCTCAACAAACTGTTTTAGAGTGGGCTGAGGAACAGGAGATATAGACAATCAGGTTACATTGCAGGAAATTAATCCCATATAATTTACAGGTGATGTCTTCACTGCTTTGTGGCTACATGGTGTTTATTCTGTAATAGTAGAGTGTTTACATTACTCTTGTCTTCATATCCTGAAAAACATTGTGGCACCAAGAGATCTGACTGCAAGGCTTTTATGTAAGCATTACTTGTGAGCTGAGGATGCTGCTTTTCATTGCAAGGGAAATTAAAAATGCTGGAGCTTGAGTAAAGTAGCTTTATATCCAGGAAATGTCTGGAGTTAAGAGCTTTTCAATTAAAAGGAGTATATGTAGGTTTGACAGATATAAATGAAGGTCTTTATGTTATTGATTGTCTTTTGAGACATTACAAACAAGCTAATTGTAACATACTATTGCAGTCACCCCCTTTGTCCAGCATGATCTAGATGCAGTTCCTGACTGTGTTTTCTGAAGAGCATTAAGGATCAATTTTGAGGTTTAGGAAAACTATTGTTTTGTATTGTGTTGTCCTATAAGAAACATGGTTTAAAATGCTGAATGTGTGTGATACTTTCATGTCAAGCAAGCTGTCACCTTAATTGTTTTTTTAAAAAAAAAAATCTTTAGTACAGCCAAAGCAAGTAGACTTTTGGATAAATAGGATGATTTTTTCGCAACTGTTTATGTGGGGATTATTGTTTATTATTGGTGCATATTATGAGGGCACCCACATATGCATAAAAATGTCTGGAAAGCAGTCAGCTCTCTTGTTCTTTGTTCCAAACATGACTAAAAATTCATTTTAGAAGACATTGTTCACCTCAATGGCTTAAGATTTTTTCAGTCACATTCAGGACCCAATGAAAAATCATAGAATCATGGAATCAATAACATTGGAAAAGACCTCCGTGATCATAGAGTCTATCCTTTAAGCAAACACCACCTTGTCAACATAGCATTAAGTCATAGAATTATGTACCACATCCAGTTGTTTCTTGAACATTTCCAGGGATGGTGACTCCACTGCTTCCCTGGGCAGCCTGTTCCAGTGCTTAACCCCCATTTCTGTGAGGAAATTCTTCCTGCTGTCCAACTTGAACGTCCCTTGAGGACGTTTCCTTGTCTCTTGTTGTTGGGAGGCTCACTTGAAATCTCCAGTGGAATAGGTCTGAACAATTAGCAGTGACTGTGCTTGTTTCCTGGATACTCTGGAAATTAAAGAGAGCTTAATGCACAAAGTCTGTTAAAATTCAAAAGGAAAGAGAATCAGTTCAGTCAGACAACCTCTTCATTATCAGACAACCTCTTCATTAGAGTTATCTCCTGTAATGCAGTCAGTAGTGTCTTTCCAGCTCATGGCTGGGGTGAGGCTTGCAGTGCAGGGCCTGAAAAGAGCCACCACCAGCACTGGGGAAATGCAGCTGGGGAAATGTTGCCACACTTGGAACATAAATCCACCACCAGCACTGGGGAAATGCAGCTGGGGAAATGTTGCCACACTTGGAACATAAATATCAAATGGAAAATAAAAATCAAAAGAAGGCCTTTTTTAAACACCTAAATTTCTCTAATTTGAGCTACCAGATGATGAAGTTTATGTCCTTGACTAGTAGATTCAGTAGTGATTACAGGAATGTCTTCTGTTTTTACGTATTTGTTGACCTATAAATTGTCTAACAGTTTTAAAACTTTAAAATGAATGATGTTGGACCTCTTAAAAATCATTGTCCTGCGGGGTCTCTAGACTTCCAGTAGTCCTCTTTGCTGAGTTGTAGTTTGTAATGTGAATAGTAAGTTACTCAGCTAATTAACAACATTTCTACTCTCCTTTTGCATTTGTTCCCGTGGTGCTTCTCCTATGTGTGTAATGCATTACATTATGGTTCCACAAAACAGGCTTAAGAAAGATTTAATAACTGTTATTACATGTGAGGTAAATATCAAATGTTTTAGAAAATATACATTTGAAGAATAACAGATGTGTGGTTATTATGCTTCTGGCAACCATCAATAAGTATGTTTTTCATAGTGAATAGTTTTTTCAATGATAGAGAAAGGAACTTTCAAGCACAAATTTCATGGTAAAATGAAATTATCTTTATAAAATGAAAGAATTTTCCACATCAAAGGTCAAAGTTTTGTTTGGTTGATGGCTTCAGCCTGATTCTAAAATTGTTGTTATTTTCATGTTATTTTATTATTAATTAGAAGTTACATATATATATATATGCAAAAGTAGGTGACTTCCACCCTTTATCTCTGCACCATACTTAATAAGCAGCAACATCTACGTAGAAAGTGCACCAGCAGCATCCCAGGTTCTGTCTAAAGTAATGCTGAGGGTGATTGGCAGTGAATGATGCTCCTGTTAGTGAAATGCTGTGTATTTAGTTGTGGGCTTGTTATGCTTTTTGTAATCCTTATATGGTTTCTGAAGAATGGAAGGGTAGTTGGAGATTGTTAGTTCTCACACTGAAAGGTTAAGTAGGTAAGAGAAGGGAAAGAAATAAGTCTCCAAAGGAAAAGGAAAAGACCTGAAGACTCCTGTATCAATGCTAGTACTTGGATATGAAGATTGTCTCCTATTAAGATAGACTTGAGATCTTCTATATACCTCAGTAGCTCCTTCAACTACTCTCCTAAGCACAGGGTGATAAGGAGGACACTG